GCGTTGCCTTGTCCCGTTGACGGAGCCGCCCCTTCCTGCCCAGGCGAGTCTAACACACCTTCTGTGGGCCTGCGGCCTCCAGATGCTGGGTCAGCAAGGTGGGAGCCAGCAGGCGGCCGGGCAGAGCGGGCCGTCCTCACCTTGCTGCCAGCCCACCCCATGCAGACAGCACGCCAGCTCCTGGGGCCAACCAGAGCCCTCTCAGAGTGACCACCTGGTCGGGGAGAGGGGACGACACAGCCATTGCTGTGGACGGACATGTGCCCGCCGGGCAGAGGGCTCCGGGGAGGGACCGTCCTGTGGGAACACTACATCCAGGCCAGGGCGGTGGGCCGGGGGTCCCTGGAGTTGGGCTGAAGAAGGGTCTCCTCTCCATGAGAACGGTGGGCCTGTGTGAGGCTGCCAGCGAGTGCCCCGAGGAGGGCCGTGAATGTAGGCAGCAGCCTCCTCAGCTCAGTGTGGGAGGCCCAGGGTCGGGGCCATATCTGGTGAGCGTGGTCTTGACGGGGTCCGAGGAGGCTCAGGACGTCACATGGAGAGACGGCGAGGGTGCACGTCTGCCCTGTCCGGGGTCTCCTATCCACCCACGAGGGTCCATTCGTGCTCCCGAAGGCCCCCTCAGTACCTCTCAGCACCCTGACGCCTCAGCAGGGCTGGGCACGGTGCACCCAGGCTGGAGAGCCTGCTGGAGCCAGGCGGGGCAGGTGGGGCAGGCCTGAGGCCACAAGGCGAGGTGGGGGCGTGGAGTGCGTCCACGAGACCCAGGAGGCAGGTCCCCGGGCCTTGCTGAGGGTGGAGCTGGTGTGAAGGCTGGAGGTCCCCGAAGGTACTCGGCCTGCAGCTGGGCCCACCTTGATGGTTCTCTGGGCAGGAATGGTGCCAGAGGCAGGGCCCGGGACAGGCTCCGGAACCCTCCATCAGACCATGGCAGGAGGATGGAAATGGCGGGTCTCTGGTCGCAAGGTGCCGAGTGAATTAAACAACAATCATAAAGAGCCCTGGAAATCCGAGTCTTGCCATAAATAACGAACAGAGACATTATACAAATCATGGGCTCTGCAGCCCCAGTGGAAGAGAACACATCAGTAAGAAAAACGAAACAAGAAAACACGCACCCCAAAGCCCCAGCTAACCAAGTGACGGCATTAGCCGGCACCCCGGGGCTCAGCGCGGTGGGAGAGCGAGCTCAGGAATGTGACCGTGGGCCCCGGAGCGCAGCCAGCCCGACATAGGCCCCGGTCAGG